AACCTAATACCTATTTCGTTTTTCATGGTGGAAATTGGTGAATCGTCATTCGCCTACCTTCAAATATTTTATAGCTTGGATTACGACATCCCTCTTCCAAGTTATAAAAATATTGTGTTGGGTCCTAGCCTTAATATTTCAGATTGGGTGTTATATTAAGGACTTAAATCAAATAACTTGAATTTCTCCCATTGTAGATGTCTGGTTCAGACAATTATGGTTTTCCCAAATCTCTTGGAACAAGCTTTCCTAATGAAGATGATGTCCCGCGATTGGATCATGGAAATCATACTTCTCTTCCTCCACCTCCTCCAATTACTCTCCCTGACCCACAAGCTCGAAGACTTGAAAAATTCAAGGTCACTCAAGCCCTACTTGCAATGAAACATGAAGATGGAAGGCTAGTGTGTGCACATATCTTAGAGATGAAGACACACATTGATAGGCTGAGAATGTTGGGTGTCGTTTTCCCAAGGAAGTTGGATATTGACTGGGTTCTTCAGTCACTTCCCTAGGCAGATGGATGTCAAAACCTCTTTCCTTAATGGGAAGTTGGCTGAAGATGTTTACATGAGTCAGCCAGAGGGTTTTGTCGATGCAAAACACTCGAAAAGAGTGTGTAAGCTTGAGAAATCCGTTTATGGATTAAAACAAGCGTCTCGTAGATGGAATCTTTGTTTCAATGAGAAAGTCAAAGAGTTTGGTTTCTTGCGAAGCGAGGATGAGTCCTGTATATATGTCAAAGCCAGTGGGAGTATAGTAAGCTTTCTCGTTTTGTATGTCGATGACATACTACTCATAGGAAACGACGTCCCAACCCTGCAGGAGGTTAAGTCCTAGCTTGGGAAGTGCTTCGCTATGAAGGACCTCAGAGAAGCTGCTTATATTCTTGGGATAAGGATAGTGAGAAACAGTAGTAAAAGACTAATAGGACTTAGTCAAAGTACTTACTTGGATGAAGTACTAAAGCGTTGTAGTATGGAAAATTCCAAGAAAAGGGAGTTACCAATCCAAAGCAATACCAAGTTGAGTAACACTCAAAGCCCGAGTACCGAATCCAAGATAGCATAGATTAGCCGAGTACGTTATTCTTCCGCAGTTTTCTCGATCATGTATGCTATGACTTGTACTCCCCTTGATGTGGCCTTCGCTTTGACTTTTCTTAAGTACCTTCGGAGGACTAAGGAATGGTTTCTTATCCTCGGTGGGAGTGATGACTTAAGGGTGCGAGGGTATAGTGACGCCAATTTTCAGACCGACCGAGACAACTTCCGCTCTCAGTCAGGCTGGGTCTTTACCCTGAATGGAGGGTCAGTGACTTGGAAAAGTTCAAAGCAGGAGACCGTAGCTGATTCAACGTGTGAATCAGAGTACATATCAGCGAGCGAAGTGTCAAAGGAGGCAATATGGTTGAAGAACTTCATCCGAGACCTTGGAGTTGTGCCAGCCATAAAGGAGCCTATGGAGATTTTCTACGATAACGAAGGTGCGGTTGCCTTAACCAAGGAACCGAGGGATCATGGCAGATCCAAGCATATCGATAGGAAATATCATTTCATTGGACATCGAGTAGAAGAGGGACTCCTCGTAGTGAAGAGGGTATCATCAGAGGATAACCCAGCAAATCCCTTTACGAAGGGACTGGGTAGGGTTAAGCACTTGCTGCACGCTAGGAGTATTGGGCTGAAGGACGATATTAGTTTTAGTGATTAGATAGCCATAGAAACTTGTAATAGATAAATTGTAATTGACATTTTGATGATTAAATAAAGGAGTATTATTTATAAGTAATGTTACTGTCCTATGTCAAATATTTACTATTGTTTCACTTTGCATGTTTTGACTTCCTAAATAATAAGATTATTTAAACTATCCACAGTCGATCATACTTTGGAAGTAGGTATGAAAGAAGACTGTCATGAATTCGCTTGTAGATTGTCTAAGTGTTTAGACATAGCAAAAGTTTGTTGCAACGTTCATGAGTGCTCTTGAAATATGATTTGAGTATTGGATTAAACCCGCACTCACTTGAATCACTTCATGGAATTAATCACGAGTGATTATGAGACGATAATATCATATAGTCTTTAAACTTAGATATATGGTTTATTGAGACGATAATATCATATAGTCTTTAAACCTAGAGCATACTTTGGAAGTAGTTATGAAAGAAGACTGTCATGAATTGGCTTGTAGATTGTCTAAGTGTTTAGACATAGCAAACGTTTGCTGCAACATTCATGAGTGCTCTTGAAATATGATTTGAGTATTGGATTGAACCCGCGCTCACTTGAATCACTTCATGAAATTAATCACGATTGATTGTGAGACGATAATATCATATAGTCTTTAAACCTAGATATATGGTTTATTGTTTGCGAGTTGGTTGTGCATTGATAATGTGTAAACGCATCAGTAACTTGATGTTATAAAACGCATTGTTGTGTATGATTTGATGAGTGAATAGTAAATGCATATAAGTCGAAGTTTATCAGTTCCTTTTATCCTACGAGGGTAAAAGCGATATCTTGGGCCCCTCGATGATTTGGTTTGACTTATGTGTCGGGCCCGGTCAAGACTGAATTGATGTGTTCAGTTAAGTTCTATGTCAGACGAATCATAGATCAAGAAACAAACTGCTAGAGAATAAGTATGACTATGTTCCATGTGATTGTCCACACGATATCTTGAGAACGGAGGACTATACGATCCCTTATCTAAAGGACGTGTCAGAGTTCAACAGCGGCTTTTGAGAGCTACGATTGTTAACCGGATTTTGAAGTCGTATTTCCATTTATAGTTATTAGACTTATCCAAGTGGGAGACTGTTGGATTAGGTGTCTAAGCCCATAACTATATTTGGTATGTACTTTACCCGGTTGTAGCATGATCATTTTGGGTTGCCTTCACCAGAGCAACTCGACTGGATGATTAATGGAGAAAGAGGTTATTACGGCTTATTAATATATCATATGGATAATATATTAAAAGAGAAATCATATTGGTTAATTGATATTGGTCAAGAACTAATTAAGAAATTAATTTTGTGATCAAAAGATATTAATTGAACCTAGGGGACTGGAATTGGAATTATAAGATAATTGGATTTTGGGCTGAGGATCCATTGGATAGGGGTGGATGAAATCAAGGAGGGAAGCCCACCTTGAATTCGTCCAAGGCCTTATTCTGGAAGGTTCCTTTGGGTTGCTTAAGGCCTAAGCAATCCAATTAGGGTTTTGACTGAAACCCTAGCAGCTCACCTATATAAGGGACCCCAAGGCTTCGCAAATCGGCTACACCTTGAACCCTAGAGATCTAGAGCCGATTTTGTGCCTCATTCCCCTCTCTCCAAAGATCATCCAACTTTCCTTGGTGTTTGTGATTGATTAGAGCTATTACACTTGTGATACTAATGCTCTCAAGGGTTGAAGATTATTGCTACAATTGAAAGGTAATCATCTAAACTTGTTTTAGTTATTGATATCGATTTTTGTATGCTAGTATTAGGGTTACAAGCTTTTGATGATTTGCATGTACAATTAGAGAAAGCTAGATCCAAAGATTTAGGGGTTGCATGTGCACCATAGGATTGATGTAATGCTCAAAACCCATCATCATTGCCTCCTCAAACTACTTTGTCTAATCCATCATCTCATGTTGATCCTTCAATTCCCATTTTATCCTCATAACCTACAATGCCATCAAGAAGGACTTCAACTAGACATCATCAACCCCCATATTATCTTCAAGATTACATATGTAATACTGCCCTTGAACAATCCCATGTATGTTGTCACACAATCACTAATCTTTTTCTTCATGTTGATGTCACACATTCTTCTTCTTTATCACCAAAACCTTTTTGCCTTTAATGTTACTTCTATTTGTAATCATGATAGTCTATCCCCTCTTCTTTATCACGGAAAATGAAAATTTTATGTTTTCTAAAATTACAAAGAAGTTGGAAATTTTTGGAAAACCGATAATCATTGTTTTCCATATTTTTCTAATTCCAAATTTTTTCTAAAATAGAAACACACACGGACTCCCACCGACCTACCCCCCCACCTTAATACCCCCAACCCACCACACCCCTACCTACCCACCCAAGCCCATCCCCACATACACACACACAAACACACACTTACCCCCCCCCCCACACACACCCCCATAAACAGACACCCACCCCAACCCTCACCCCCACACACACACACCCCAACCCCCACTCACACCTACAACCCCCCCCCCCCCCACACACACACACACATACACACAAAAAACACACCCCACCCCATCCCCCCTCCCCACACAAACACACACACACACACACACAAACACCCACCCACCCATACACACACACTTACACACACCCCCATAACACACACACCCCCACAAACACAAACACACACACCCACACCCACCCCCATAACACACACACTCACCCAACACCACTATCACAATCACCGACCTACCATCACCATCACCACCACCACTACCCCATCACGATTGCCACCGCAATCACCACCACCACCACTGTCGTCATCATCGACACCACCACTGCCCCCACCCACATCCTACCACTGCTATCGTTTTTCTAAAAATGAAAACCGATAGGATTATACACATCTAAACGCGTTTTCTAATTTTCTAAAACTGAAAATTAAAAATGAATAAGTTTTAACTAAACACGTTTTCTAAATTTTCCGATAAAAACTGAAAACGAAAAATAAAAATGAAAAAGGAAAACGAAAAACGGAAAATGAAAATTATTTTTCCGTAACTAAACGCAACCTAAGATTTTCTTAGCGGCCATTTTAATAATAATGGAGTGGGAGCGACTTTCAAATGTAGTCCATGCACCCCCAATTAAATAGGCTGCCTACGTATAACAGTTATTATTATAGAAATTACAAGTTGCCGCTAACTTTCTCCCCACGTGTTGGACTCTTACTATTAAATATATACTCCTATAGCAGCCATGGAGTTATATCTGTATATAATATAAACTTTCTGTATCATCTCTCTCAAAGTGTAATTTGAGCACAGAGGACATGGAGTTATATCTCACGTTCTCAACGACGGTAGCAGCCATCTTTTTGGCTATTGTACTTACATCCCTGCTGCAAATCTTGAAAGGAAAAAGAGGAAACAAAGGGAAGAACAGAGAACCGCCTCAAGCGAAAGGTCAATGGCCATTAATCGGACACCTACACCTTCTTGGCGGATCTGCACCACCTCACAAGGTTTTTGGTGACATGGCAGAAAAATATGGGCCTATATTCACGATCAAGCTTGGTGTTCATCAAGCTTTGGTAGTGAGTAACGGGGAGATAGCAAAAGAGTGCCTTACCAGGAACGACAAGGTCTTTGCAAGTCGACCCAAGTCAATGGCATCAGAACTCATGGGGTATAACTACGCCATGTTTGGGCTTGCTCCATATGGGGACTACTGGCGACAAGTGCGCAAGATAGTCATGCTCGAGATTCTCTCACAGCATCGAGTGGAGATGCTTGGACATGTTCGAGCATCCGAGCTTAGAGCATCAATGAAAGATATATACCAGGCTTGGGCAACGAACAAAGAGAGTGAAAGTTTAGACATGGTAAAGGTGGACATGCAACAATGGTTTGGGAACTTAATACTAAACGTTATTGTAAGAATTATTTCAGGAAAGAGGTTCTCGCTCATGGATGAAGAAGGGGTTCGGTTTCAAAACGTGACAAAGAAACTATTTGAGTTATTGGGCGTATTTGTCGTGTCTGATTTCCTTCCTTATTTGAAACATTTTAGCCTTGGTGGATACGAGAAAGAAATGAGGAAGACAGCAAAAGAGATGGACGACATCTTTGAAGGATGGTTAGAGGAACACAAGAGAGAGAAAGAATCTGCGCACCAACAGGAAGGCAACCAAGTCTTCATAGATGTTCTGATTTCCATTCTTGAAGGTGCCTCCAATGAGGATTTTCCGGGCTTTGACCATGATACAATAATCAAGGCCTTATGTTTGGTAAACTTAATCTTAAACTTGATCTATTATTATTACCTAATCATATTTTATCTTATGAGTTATAAAAATACTTTGACTTGAGTAATATTTATTTTAATCTAAATCCTACAGAACATTCTAACGGCTGCCTTGGACACAACATCTGTCACGCTAACATGGGCTCTATCGTTGTTGCTGAACAACCCAAGTGAATTAAAAATTGCCCAAGATGAAATTGATGAGCATGTTGGAAGGAAGAGACCAGTAGAGGAGTCAGACATGAAGAACTTAGTCTACCTTGATGCAATCATCAAAGAAACACTACGTTTATACCCGGCTGGACCTCTCGGGCTTCCGCATGAGTCCATGGAGGATTGTATTGTGGGTGGCTACAACATCCCCAAAGGCACACGTTTGGTGCTAAATCTTTGGAAAATACATCGTGATCCTAACATATGGTCAGATCCATACGAATTCCAGCCACAAAGATTCTTGACAACCCATAAAGATATTGATGTCAAGGGAAAACATTTTGAACTACTTCCTTTTAGTGGTGGTAGAAGAATGTGTCCTGGCTTTCACTTCGCTCTCCAGGCTTTGCGCTTAACATTGGCTACATTAATCCAACAATTTGTGATTAGTAAACCATCAAATGAACCCGTTGATATGAGTGAATGCTTTGGACTGACTACAAGCAAAGCAACGCCACTTGAGGTCCTTCTCGCCCCACGTTTATCCCTTGATATGTATCCTATTGGTGCATGACTTAATTTGGAAACGGGAATCCAATAAAAACGTGGAAGGAATTGAACAAGAAAGATAAGAATCAATGGTACTAAATATGTTAGCTTCTTTTATTGCATGTGTGTATACATAGATTGAGTAGAGAGTTCAAGAATAAAACCTCATTATTAGTGATTGTATATTAGTATTTGTATAGAATATTTGGTGTGTATCCTTTTCTGTATTTTTGTGATTCTCTTGGACTGATATCAATATAATCCCTTCTCTAATCTCTCCTCCTCCTCCTTTTCTTTGCCACCGATCCTTCTCTTCCTCGGGACGTCTTCCATTTGTCTTCTCTCCTTTCAGTGTTATGGCTCCATGAAACGAAAATCCTGATGCAAACAAAAATTCATGCATGTGCCTTCAATGTGTTGGACCATGTCGACAGTTCCGTACTAGTCCCTACTGCCATCGACGAAGCCACTAGGACTCGACTTGATGTAGAGGTCAAACAGTGGATTTACATCACCATCTCCAGAGATCTGCTTTAGACAATAATGAAACCGGGAACCACCGCTCTAGAACTGTAGAAACTTGTACGTTTATATGCTCCCTTCCAAAATAACAAAGCTACTAGTGTCGTCTATCCTGAGGAGCAGTTGAATACCACCCGTTTGTCGTCTATCCTGAGGAGCAGTTGAATACCACCCGTCACTAAAATGATTTTTCTTTTAAAAAAAAATCTAGATATTTCTATCCAAAATATAGAAAACAAAAGGTCATTATATTAAACTACAAATTATCAAATAAATTACTAACTGTTTAAAACATTACAATAAACATCCAATAAATTATAAAGTGTTTAACACATTACAAATAAATTCAGATATTTCAGGCACCAATTTGTTGTTTATGAGACATCATTGTTGATTCCAATTTCATCTATAACTCTCTTCTTACTCCTGTTGGATATAGGCATCAAAAAAGAAGCCAGTAAAACCAAAGGATATGGAGCTGCAAAGTTGTAACGACCCAAAATTCGACCGCTAAACAAGGTTAATATTTCCGTTATTAGGAATTGATTTATTTATAAGATTAATAAATGAATATATGAAACAAGTGAATTGTGGAATAAAATCAAGATAAAACTTCAAAAATGGTCCCTGTGGTTTTCGAAAATCTGAAGTTTAGTCCTTAATTTACAAAAACCTCACGGATCGTCCCTGTGGTTTCAAAACTTTTAACATATGGTCCTTTTCGCTAACTCCATTACCAGTTAGCCGTTAAGTAAGGGCATTTTTGTCATTTCACTACCCAGTGACCATTTATGAGGTTTTATATTACTTTTTTTAAAAAAAATGAAAAAATAAATAAAATTTAATATGCAAGGGGACCCACCTCTCTCTCTTCTCTCTCTCTCTCTCTCTCTCTCTCTCTCTCTCTCTCTCTCTCTCTCTCTCCCCCCTTTCTCTCTTCTTCCCCATTCTTTCTCTTCCTCCAGAAAAAATCCCCCTGCTTCCCTATTGTCTGCAAGCAAACAACTGCAACAGTAGCTGGTTGATCATCGAACCCAACAGAAGCTTGAGGGATTCGAAGACCATTAGAAGACGATACCCATTTGTTCCTTCAAGCTTGAACGGTACCGTCTCCTGCTTGACTTACAGGTTACGATTATGGGAGACGCTACCCATTTGTTCCTTCGATCTCGGTTGACTTACGAACAAGGGAAACAATCGACTAAAATAACAAAAGTGGTGGTGACCGATTTACTCACAGTGGCAGCAAAATGGTGGTGGTCGGACTTGCAACAACGATGACGACAATGGAGTGGGTCGGCGATGGAAGGAGGGTGACGGTGGTGGTAGCGGCGGCTCCGGCTGCCTCGTCTCTCTTCTATTCGGCAGCACACGGTGGGAGGAAACAAAAGGGAAAGCAGCAACGATTTCGGGATGTCTGGTGGTGGTGGTGGGTTACGACAGAAGGAGGCGAAGAGGCTGCCACCGTCGGCTGTGGTGGTCCTCTTCACCAGTGAAGTGAGATACGAGAGAGAGAGTGACGAGGGAAGGTGGTGTTGGGTGGTGTCTGACAGCTTGCTCCGATCAGTGGCAAGAGAGGGAGAAATACGGTGGTTCTCAGTGGTTACAACAACAGCAACACCACCCTTGGGGGTGGTGGTGTTTCTCGGTAGTGAAGGAAAAGGGGAAGGGCAGTAGAAAAACGTGAATGGAAGGCAGTAAGTGGTGGTGTTTGAGGGTGGGTTTGACTGATCAAACGGGATGGAAGATGGGTGGCTGGGTTGTGGTTTCCGGTGGGGAATGAGGTGATGGCAGTGGTGGTTTTATGGTGGAAGGTGGTGCCACCGTGTGGAATCGTAAGTTCTTGAGAGAGAGAGAGAGTGTGTGTGTGTGTGTGTGTGTGGGTCCCCTTGCATATTAAATTTTATTTATTTTTTTAAAAAAAAAAAGTAATACAAAACTTCATAAATGGTCCCTGGGTAGTGAAATGACAAAACTGCCCCTTACTTAACGGCTAACTGGTAACGGAGTTGGCGAAAAGGACCATATGTTAAAAGTTTTGAAACCACAGGGACGATCCATGAGGTTTTTGTAAATTAAGGACTAAACTTCAGATTTTCGGAAACCACAGGGACCATTTTTGAAGTTTTGTCTAAAATCAATTATCAAAAATATAGATTTAAGCTACTTAATGAATATTGGGGCTTAATTGTAATAAAAATGACTTAACTGAATTAGTAATAATAAACAAGAAATGATTAAGGTTTAAGGTGGGTATAAGTGAAACTTATTTTGAAGAAGTTTTAGGGATGGTGAATTTAGGAATTAAATTTTATAAGTTGAGGGATTTAATGTGCGTCGTTAGCGAAAAAAAAGGAGAATGAGAACCGGTCGTGAAAGGGGGGAGGCAGCAACGTTGTTTCTTTTCAAGCAAATGTTGGGGGTCGATGTTTTTTTATGGAGGGTGTTACTTGTAACGAATTAGAGCAATTAAGTGGTAAATTTTCTAAATTTCCTTCTTCCTCAAGGTTTAGGTCTCAATTGCTTCTCACTTGGTTGAGTTGTGGTGTCAAATTTCTTCCTATTTGGTGTTAATGATCACAACTTACTTCTCCTTGCAATCCTTCAATGTTCTTATGGCTAAATCCCATTCTTACTAGGTGTGTTATAAGGATTTATTGTTGTCCAAATTATCTTATGAAAACTCTCAAGAATGATACTGATAGGTCCTTGAATTACTCCATGTTTTGAGGACATTGCTTCCTTTGTTGATTATTAAAAATCATGCTATTGTTCTCTTATATTCAAGTGAGAATCTTTGGTAAAAGACTATGTTTTGAACTCTCCAAAATATCTTCAAAATAGTTTTTCAAGTGTCTTCATATATGGTTAGTTGGTAGGAGAAATTCAAACCTAAGTTGGTATTTCTCTTTTTAACAATGTATTTTGTCTTTTATTTAAAGACAATGTACTTTGGACTATGGTTGGAGGATGAAACTATCTTTTTACTTCCTTGTTATATTGCTACTATTTTAAACTTGTTTTTCAGCTATTTGGTCGATTTGGGTGGTGACTTAATAGGTTAAGTGGTCAAAAAACCTTTAAAACTCAAAGCTGAAAATTGCAAGAAATTGACAAATCTGACGCTGGATTGGAAAAATTATAGAAACATCATCAGGAGTCGGATTAATGATCCGTAAATTCTGTAAGTTTTCATTTTGAGTCTAGTTTGTCTTGAATTTTTGCAGGACCTGTTGTTACCTCCAACTAAGGTGAAATTGCTTTTTTCACCAACTGGTCAGAATATAGCTGCATTGATATGCAATTTTGTAAATATCATAGAAAATTGTAGAAAAATCGTTTGGACCTTTAAAATCAGTTTCTGGAAAGCTACAATTCTGAACTTCCATAAAATGAAATAAAAGTATGAATTTTACAGGTCTCAGGGGTTCTAAAACAACCCTAAATAGGCGGTTGTTTTAGGTCCAAAACTGGGAATTTTGTTTGATAATTAATTTATGTGTTTAGGTTATGGAGTTGCCTCCTTTGGCATTATAGAATTCCAATAACCTTTTATTGTTATTTGAATAGGGACAAGGGTGATACTTCAACTCTTACAAGATTTAAAGTGTGAGGAGGACTCATCTTTGGCAAAGGTGAGTTAATTTTGTGGATTTATAAAGTACATTGTTAGGAGAATCTCATAGCTTAGATGGAATGGAATGAACAAAGTTACCTAGGATGTATGTGCCTCTTTTGGTGTTGAGTAATGTGCCATAGATGTTGTATTGCTTTATGTGTAAGAGAATCTAGGATGTTGCATGCTAGTTTCATCTTTATTCGATGTGAGATGTGTGATAAGGTCATGCTAGATTGAGTGTCATACATGAATATTATGTGATGTGAGCAAATATTTGTTTGGAAATATTTGCCTAAGTTGTTTTAGGACAAGCATGCCAGTGTTGTAAAACCATTATTTTGTGTATGATGTAAAATGTAATAAATAAATTAAAAAAAATTACGTGTTTACATGAAAATGAACCCTTAAAGAGGTAATATGTTAATAAAGGAAAAATCATAATATTTGCATGATTACTTGAAGAGGGTAAAAGTGTAACTCTTTAATTAATTAATTAATTAATTAATATTAATTTAAAAAGGGGAATACACTAGCGGGGCGAAGGGTAGTAACCTAGACATATGTATATACCCTATCCAGATTATTGCGGGGACCCGATGGGTTGAACGAAACCTTTGGGAAAAGTGCTTAAGCCAAAGCGGCATCAAATGATTTTCTTAGGAGATCATTCGAGACATGGTCTGAACGGTGGGTAGACTGGCGTGATGTTGGTCTAGTGATGGGTCCAACGCAAATAGCACGTGGGATTGGGAGGTGTAACGCGGTGGAATTGGCACCGCTTGTACCAATCCTTAACGACAATGTATGTATATGTATGTGCAATGTCGGAGTAATGAATGCAACGCACTGGGAGCAATGATTATAGGTGAGAGTCACGCCTCACCTAGAGCATTAGGTCGTGTCTTTGACGTTAGTAGCGAATGGGATACTTGCCTTGGGGTTTGCGGTGAATGAATAGACCTTAGCTTGGAAGTATTACTATAATAATTACAGTGATGGTAAGTGGTGAGTAATTATTAAAATAAA